GAGAGAGAGAGAGAGAGAGAGAGAGAGAGAGAGAGAGAGCCCACACACACCCAAGAAAGCACGAAATCTCCATGAATTATTGGCCGGCTGATGCGGTTATGGCAGCCCCAGAATCGTTCTGTGCTGTATACTACACACGGGGAATTGTCTGCCCTCAGCGTTTGGGGGACACCGTGGTCAAATCAGCCGCTCGTTCTACATATAATGTGAAGCATCATGGTGAGCGCAGGTGCTCGTCAAAATAATGAAATGAAAAAAATGGGCATTTTGTTGGCTGATTGGCATTTTTTTCTTATTTTCATTTATGTCCATTTAAAAAAGCATGTATTGATTTAACATTAAAATGTTTATTAAAAGGCACAGAAATGTAAATTTTCAGTTTCCAAGGACTCTCAGTCTCAGACTATAGACGTTACCAAACTTTGGCAGCCATTTTCTCCCGAATTTTACCTCTGAAACCAGGCGGCCCTGACCTCTTTCAATCGCAAATATTTCGACTTCTATTCAACATAGATGGATATTTTTTTCACCGAAGGGAAGGCAGATGAACAGGCTTTAAGATGATACCGATAGCCCCATATGCCCAAAAATTGACGAGCGCCTGATTCCTCCCCGGCGTGCTACAAATGTGAAGCATGCTGACAAAATGAGTCACTTCTCACAATCCACAAATGGAGATATTGGCCACAAATCGACATTAGGGTCAAATTTGTAGATTCTCTGTTGATACCGTATTCTTTAAGTAAACATGCCTTATATTATTTCATACTTATAAATTGTGAAAACTTCACCTATAAGCTTGATGTGGCGATTTCCATAGGGTTAGAATCCGAGAAGTGACTCATTTAGTCAGCACACTTTACATAATATAATGAAATCAAAGAAATCGGGAGGAAAGCTCTCGTGGACTAGAGGTTAACGTGTTGGCCTCTCATTCTACGGTCTCGGTTTCGAATCCGGGTAGCGACGGAGGAACATTTTTCTCTAGAAATGTCTCGTTTCACCTTATTTCCTGCTCTCTTGCAATGTTCTGTCGTCTGCTTTCGTCTCCACTTTCTGCACCCACCCCAATACCTCCTTTGCCCCCTCCTCTGAGCTCCTGACTCTTTCTGCAACCTTTCTGCTGCTACTCCTTATCTCCTTCATACTGCTGTCTTTCAGCCATAGCCCTGATCTTCTGGTAGGAAAGATCTACACCTAGTCTTCTCGGACAAGGGTGAAAAAACTCGTAGGTCTCGTGTGCAAATTGTGCACGTTAAAGATCCCTTGGTGGTCGAAAATCGGTAAGAGAAGGCTTCGGCCGCCACCTGGACAAAATTTCAATATTTCCTACCATCTGAATATGTTTGGTGTGTCTTGCGCGCTCATAATATGACCCCATGCAGTTGTGAGCGCCGTAAAACATGTACCAAAAAAAAAAAAGGAAAAAAAAAAAGAAAAAAAAAGAAAAGAGAAACCTGCAATTTCCTGACTATTCAGCAATGTTTTTTAATCCTTGACTCAACACCTTTTAGTTCCATTTTAAAACACATTTGGATATCTATAGGTGAGATTTACCTTTTTTGATCAATGGCACAAAATGTAATTGTGAGTTTGCCGTTTTCCAAGGACACTAAAGCTTTGGAAGTCACAAAACTTTGACAGCCATTTTCTCTCTAAACCTGACCCCAGATGACCCCCC